AGTCCAACCCTCTGCTTAGGCAGGAAACCCTTTACCATTTCAGACAAAAGGTTATCCAATATCTTTTTAAAAACTTCCAGTGTTGGGGCAACTTCTGGAGGCAACTTCTGTTCCACTGATTAATTGTTCTAACTGTCAGGAAATTTCTCCTCAGTTCTAAGTTGCTTCTCTCCTTGATTAGTTTCCACCCATCGCTTCTTGTTCTCAGGTGCTTTGGAGAATAGTTTGACTCCCTCTTTTTTGTTGCAACCCCTGAGATATTGGAAGACTGCTACCATGTTATCCCTAGTCCTTCTTTTCATTAAACTAGACATACTCACTTCCTGGGTATAAATAAATGAAACAAATATTCTGTACGGGGAAGAACAATCTTGTGAACACCCTTTGCTATAAACACATTATTCTTTGTTGCTTGGGATTGAAGAACATCTGAATGGCATTAAATGCTGTTATTATGTTCTCAGTATATAAGGGACATAGAATAGAAACCCTTCATGCCTGCATAAAAGCAATAAAACTAGCTTAAAACACACATCCTTAATATGACTAAAAACAGTGTGAAAGAAATTCTTACCACTCATTCCAAGGCTCCACTGTATAATGAGGTGTTCCAGATGACAAAGGGTGGAGATATTTGTAGGCATCGGGCCTTGAAGGATATTGAAATTAACATCGTAGGATTTAGTGTTGCACCACAGTAACATTCCAGGCTCTTTCAATTACTGTAACATTTATTTGTTTAGAGCAAGGCAGAAATATATTCTTCCCCACTGCATTTTTTTTTAACCCCACACTTTTTTGTATATTCAAAATACTGTATTTTTCGGAGTATAAGTAAGGTGACCAGATGTCCCGCTTTTGGCAGGACAGTCCCGCTTTTGAACAATTTGTCCCGCGTCCCGCGGCGTTTTTAAAAAGTCCCCTCAGACCCTTTCCTGAGGCAAAGGCAGAGCTCTTTCAGCCTACAAGCTTATTCCACCTTGCCCCCGAGTCTTGCTGTGGGGCGACCAAAAAGCACGTTTTCCAGCACTTGGGAAATACCGCCCCATCTCCCATGCCCCTCCCCCATCTCCTTCGGTCAGACAAGGCCGCGTGTCATCGCGCAGGACCGGAGCGTGCACCCTCTGTGTGGAATCCCTCACCTGGGTTTCTCTCCCACACTTTTTGTCAGGGATGGAATGGAGGCGTCCGCCAAGTGGTGGCTGCTGGTCCAGCTGGGGCTGCTTCTGACTCGCCTTCCAGGTAAGGGCTGACGCGGTGGGGGGCGCCATTTCCCGTAGGACCTATCCTCCTCCACGCCGCTCTTGCCTTTCCTTCTGCTTGCTCCATCCCAGCGGAGGCTGAGCCCGCCTCTTATTTGGACCTCCTGCATCCCCCCCCCAAATGGAGCACCCCATTTCAAGCAACGAGGGGCACCAAGCAGGGCAGGGTTGCAAACCCCCCCCCTTCCCCCAAGGCTGTAGGCGAAAGCTGCTCTCCAGCATCCCGTCCCGTCCCTGCCTTCCCAGACCCAGACCTCTGTGGAGGTCCTTTTTGGCTTTAACGCGAAGCCTTAAGGGGGGAACAGGGTGCGCCCAGGCACCTCTGCCCCTGAATCAGGAACGCTGGAGAAGCGGGCGCAGATCGCTGGCTTTTTAAATCAACTTTTTGGAAGGAGGACTCCCCACAACAGAGAAAGGGAGGGGGGGGAGAAAGTTA